GATGCCCGGCGAATAAGAGAGTTATTCAGCACCAATAAAGGCGCTAGTGAATTTAAGAAGACGGCTAAGCGTGTATACGAATTGTTCCAGGCGAGAGGATTGGCTAATTTGTATGCAGTAACCTATATACGACCACATCACCTTGACCATATGTAGGAAGACGAATTTTATGGTCAATTACTACCGATTGCTCGCCAGTTGCGTGAAGCCGAAACCCTGATCTTAATACAGGGCTCGCAGGAGCTCACCCTTTCTAGGGGGGCTGATGTTACGCGGATCTGTGCCACATGGAAAGTTCAAGAAATTAGCAGCGATCCGCAGTGTAATGGTGTAACTTATACTTTGTATAGTTTATACTAAGTGTAATTTATACTTGGTATAATTTATATGAAGTTTAACTTATACATAGTATAATTTATACCGAATTTTCGAACAATATATATAGAGCGGGCGAACAGTGGGGTATAGGGGATAATTAAGGTTTATTTAGTGTTAAATTTTAGTATAGTTTATTCGGTAATATTGCAGATCGCCGGCAGAGGCAGCAATATTTTATTCTGATATTATTTATGAAATTTATTATGTATTAGCATTTATTTATTGTATTGCTTGATTATTTTAAGTTATTATTTACATTGAATAAATATACACTTTAAAATCATACATATAACTCTTAATTTTACATATATACTTTATTTCATTTTATTTTACGATAAACGTAACACAAATTTCTGTTACTATCACGTGACCCCGACGCAAATCGATAGTAACACACGTACAGATAAAACATCAAGCACGTGATAGATAAACATCAAGCATGAACAGATAAAAATATCAAACACGTACAGATAAATATCAAGCACGGACAGATGAATATCAAGCATGAACAGGTAAAATGTCAGGCACGGTGTAACATTTTGTCAATCCATGCTTGATTTTTCACCGCCCAATGCCTGATAGTTTAGTCCAGCTCGGCTTGCCATATATATATACTTATTTTATTGATACATATAGTTATATATTATTTGTACCGTGATCAGTATGTAAATTAATAAAATTTAATTTATTACATTTATTACACAACTATTGATGTTATCTTTACGCAATAATCATATTGAAATTTCATTCATTAAGCATCTAGCAATGTATTTATACTATATATGTTTGGACCTATCTTCATTTGACCTGTTATTAAATTTTTTTATTCATTTATTTGAAAATAAATTTAATATTTTGATTATTTTCACTATTTTTATTATTTTTATTTCATTATGCTATTTCCATAATGTACTTTTTTCTATTTTAGCAACCCAACATCTTATAATCTAGTCTGCAAATAATTTTGGTACATCTTTAGAAATCTCTGTCCTTTACTAAAAATTCATCATAAGGAATATCATCGTAAGGAATTTATTAATTCCAAATGAGTAAATATCTGTTGTTTTTGTATATTGATATCCACGTAAATATATGTATTCTTCAGATTTATTAAAAAATTTCTTTTTAAGTTTCCATTTTTTATAGGGATGTTAAATTACTAAATTTTCTTCTTCAATATTATTATAGCTTTGTCTTTTACTGTTTCCGCTCCTTTAATTAATCATGATAAAATTTAAATCATATTTAAGAGACATACAGTATTTAAAGTATATATTTACTGAAAATAATTTTATCTGGCATTTTAAATAATATACGGTATTTATGACAAATAGTCGGTAAATTTTTATAATGATCGTAAAACGATATTTATAGCGGATCTTCGACACGACATATAAAGAATTCCGTTATACCGATATAATCATAACAAAGATTTTATTCTTAAAGTTTTTAATTCAGGCTTAATTTACTTCTTGAGCCAAGATAAAATATAATTTTTTTAATCAGATTTAAAAAAGAAAATATAAAATATATATTTCATATTTAATACAGCGGTAATACAGCGGTGAAAACAATTGTTAACGGTAGATCAATGATGAGCATTGTTTTCCGTTCGCTCGACATATGATTTCTTCAGCCCTTTGAAATAAAAGAAACGATCATATACCGTATGTGATTTCTTAATTTAGAGTACATAATTATATATTCGATTACGCCTTTTTGTTCTATGGCTAATTGAGGTTAAATATTTAAACACAAAAATTACTAATAATTTTTTCCCGTCCTGTAAATTTATTAATGAACCCAGTCGACACATAGTAAATTTACTGTGTTCACTATGTTCGGAATAATAATAAAAATATCGAATTAAATGATTGGACCACTCAATGAAGAGTTGGTATGTTAGATTGAATTATTCTCCAAATAAGGTTAGTAAGCATCTCCTATTTTTTGTGCTACTATGTTCTTTCTTACAATGAATGTTCATAATCATACGGCAAAATATTTAACGAATTACTCCCATACCAAAAATGAGATAAAATTTATTATAAAAAAGGATATTGAACTTTGTAAACATAATTTTCATCAAAATCAGTCTTTATCCGTATCTATATCCGAAGTGATAATCTAAATTTTTGCGCGTTATTGTTCACATTTCTTTTTATATATTAGTTTATTAACTTCCTTCCACAGTAGTTCCGCCTGTATATTTTCTGAAAATGTATTGGAACAATTCTCTTTTACTAAACTTTGTGCTAATAAGAGATAAAGCAATCTGATATAAATTATGTTACATTTAATATCTTGTCTTTAAAATAACGTACAATAATAAATCTTCTGTATTAATCCCAAGCAGACCTTAATAATAGGGAAATTGTGATGTGATTTTAATCATCTATATAATTATGTTTGTGTGACTAACGTTTAGATTAGCTTATATAAATAATCTTTGAATTGTTATTCATCTGCGCCTCTACACCTGATTATACAAATATTAATTACTAATGTTGTGTAACATTTAATATGATCTATTAATGTGTTTGCGCCTGATACTTGATCGGCAAATTCATTCTAATTACTAATGTGCAGGAAAAGGAAATTTGTATAATTCTGGCCGGAATTATACCTTTGCAATTTTCTCCCAAAATTAAAATAACATAAATTAAAAATTTTAACTGCGTCAAATTATACATTAATTGCCAAGACTTCCAGAAATTATTTAAATTTTACATTTTACATTTAAAGTTATAACTGATATATCACATACTGTAACCCTTTTTTCCATCAAAATTAATTTAGTCACTTTCTTTAGCAAAAGATCTAAATTTGATAAACGGGTGATCAAAAATGACGATCAATCAATTTATACAACCCAATGCGAAGCAACGGGCTACTGCTAGTTTTTAAATTAAAAAAATTATTTTTGTTGGTCATTATTCAATTGTCCTATATTAGAAATTATGTAATTGATCCGTACATTGAGATCGACATGAAAAAAATTAATTGGTTGATGCGTATTTGCCGATCCGTAAGAACGCACAAAAGTTCTTGTTCTTGTGCAACTGCATTAACTATTTAAACCCTCCCCTCCCCGGTGTGAAATTCTCTCTTTTATATCAGCTTAGGCTTATTTTCTTATTCTTGTTTCCTGGTATATATAATCTCTTGATAAAATATCAAAAATAAAAAATAAATAAAATTTAAAAAATTTATTTAAGAAAAATGGATTCGAATAACCAAACATCTCAAGATTATTCTGACTTATCAACGTATCAAACTGTAAATAGCTCCACACCTTTGCATAATAATAATAACAATGACCAACAAACTTCCATTAACAACTCAGGAATACCTAATACCTTCATTATTAATACTTTGACTCCCACACTTCAAAACGATACATTTGAATTTTACTTTCCTTTACAAAATGATACACGCATTTATTACGTTACATATACTGAACTACATCCATTAGAAAATGCGCGACTTTTGAATAATAACATTAATTTATCTCGTATTCCTGACCATCAGCTTCCACATCATTATGATATTCAATCTTTGATTCGACAACTGATTCAGCAACAAGTCCAACAACCCGTTTATCAACAAAATTATGCTCAACAACAATTTATTGATACTACAATTCAACCTACTTCTCAAGTACATTCAGATTATAATGCTTATAATGCAGCTTCAAATTCAGTAAGCAGAACTGTTTCTGATAATACTCAAGATACAGAATTTCAGAATTCTTACTAAGGAAATTCGATTAGTTGTTAGATAAGCTAAAGTGATTCTTTCCACTTTTTTTCTGTTTTTTTTTTTCGGGGGTTATTTTTTATTTATTTCGAAAATAATTCAAATGTTAAAAGTAATAATTTTATTTATTTATTATATATATATTTTTTTTTTTTGAGCGAACGTGTTTATTTTATTATATTTATTAATTATATAAATTTTGTGTTGAACTGTTGATATTTAATCTGAAATAAAAAAAATATTTTTTTTTTAAATAAAAAAATTTACGTATTATATGCAAAGTATACGTAAAGTTAGAGGAACTAATGACAATTAATTCGCTTAAAAATTAGGATGAAAAGTTCAACGTAAAATGACGATTTATCGGGGACTGTATATGATGCTAATCAACATGATAAATTATTGTTTGCAATATTTACAGTGTTAACGCCACTTCAATATACCATACGATATCCATATTCCATATAAAATTGGAACTTTAACCTTTTCGTACGTATACTAGTCAATAAATTCAAGTAAATATAAAATAAATGGATAAGCAATACATACCGTATCACTTATTTTTAGAGAAATACTAGGTTGAAATGAAATTCTAAATTATAATGAAAGAAACCAATATTTCTTTATAATATTTAAATCAAAAAATATGTAACCAAAATTATTTTGCTATTTCGATCAAAATAAAAAATGTATCATATTATTAAGTATAAATAAAAGTGGTTATTAGTATTTTTACAATAATAATTTTCTTAGTTTATTTATTTTATACATATTTCAATTATTCAAGAGATTTTTTTACTAGTGGAAAATCTCCGCAGCCAAGTTCCCACCATCTAAAGAGAAAAAACGCTTACGGATCATCGGATCGATCGGCAAAATACGCAAATCATAGTTTCACAATACTTTATATAAAGTATTGTGAAACTACTAAATTAAGCACGTGACCTCACGTGCCGATGTTCTAATTAGCTTACTAATTAACGTTAAATTTTTAATAAAATAACTATTTTTTATTATTCCATTATACGATTAATCTATAATTTTTTCTTTATTTTAAACATTATCAAGCATATCATTTCACTTTGCAAATTTAGTACCTCCCGCAATATATTTAACAGTTCATTTCGCTTTTTAGACGCTATTTCACGCTACTTATAGCAATCACTTTCACTAGCTTGTTCTAAAGATATTTTATTTCATAAAATTTCCATTCTTGTCATTTTTGATTCATTTTCTTGGGTCATTGATTCTGGCTGAGTTATTATTGGAATGGCCGAAATGGAGGAACTGGAGTGTAAAACACTTCAATAATATATTCTTTTCGTGATTTTCTTTTGCCAAATAACTAAAATTTTTCAACTGATCGCTTAATTTAAACTCTCTATCTAGACTTTCAAAACTGGTTTTGTACTCATTGGATCGATTAAGAAGATCAAGCTTTTTTAGATAAACCCGATATGTTTGATATTCCATAATTGCATGGCGTCGATTAAACAAGCATGATCTTGAAACTACACTATTTTTTCTACAATTATACCAGAATCTCGTATATTTGGATGAGACTTTATCAATAATTCTTCGTCTGCGATTTTCTATCAGGCGATAAATTGGATGTTGACGTACAGGCCAAATTGGAGAAAATGCCCTTCGTGCAGCACTTTTTAAAAAGGATTATTGGCACGAATAGCTGTCCTATAATAAGAATCTTCTGGAGATAATTAAATAACTATTAATATAATAATAATATTAGAAAATAATTGTTTTTAATGAAATAAATGAAAAATAATGATTTTCATTGCTGAAACTTATGATTTGGCGACTTTAGCACCGCTTGCATGTTACTGTCACATGACTATATGATCAAGTGCTAGCGGCAATTTTTTGTTTTGACTATATAGTTTCTTTCTCATTACTTCACATCAGCTATATAGATGCTATAAAGAATTTAATGAATTTTTGATAAATTTTTATAATGCAGTATTTCTTTAATTTTTTATTATAATGTATTATTAATCTAATAATTTGAAAAAATTATATGATCATATTAAAAAATACCTATAAATTCATCGTAAAATTTATTGTGCAATTTTAATAATAAAATTACATTACAATTTACAAATACATCAAATACATTGTCTATGTCTAAATTCTAAAAATAATTCTATCATATATACTATAATCTGACATGTAGAATGATGTTGAAGATGATTTATGCCAACAATCTTCTTCCCTATAAAAAAAAAATGTGTTAAATTTGTATCAAAATTATGTATAATATTTTGTCTTATAAATGTCTGAAAATGCACCAATTTGTGTTAATAAAAAATGCAGAATAATTATGTTAATTTTGTATTAAATCTGTGTTATATTTATGTTATTATTATATATAATAAAATGTGCAATAATTATGTTATTTTTATATTAAATCTGCGTTGTATTTATACTATTATTATACATAATGAAATGTGTGATAATTATATCAATTTTATATTGAATCTGTATTTTTATTAAGTATTACTATTAGCTAACTTGTTGGCTATTCTTTTAGATCGTCTATTAGATTTTTGATTTTCTTGCGTATCCTCGCCTTGATCTGCTTCTTGCATACTCCTTTTGCTATTATTAACCTTTCGTCCATATTTACTTTTTTGAATTTCGGAATTATTAGAATTAACTATATCTTGTCTATAAAATTATTATTAGTTAATAAAATTTCTATAAAATTTACTATTATATAATCTTTTACATACCGCATTTTTAAAATTCTTCTAGACTTTTTGGTATCCAATTTTTTATTAATGGATCTTGAATCGTCTTTTTATTTTTTTAATGGAGAAAATTAATTCAGGTCGGCAATCATACTTTTAAAATATAAAATTATAAAACCTTACCTTTATATTTATTGTTATTAGTATTTGAATTAGTATTTTTATTATCGTTTACACTATTTGCATCTTCATAATTAGTAGTATCAGTGTCTTCAACATTACCAGCATCTTCACCATTGTTAATATTGGCATCTTCATCATTATTAGTATCTGCATCTTCATCATTATTAGTATCTGCATCTTCATCATTATTAGTATCGGCATCTTCATCATTATTAGTATCGGCATCTTCATCATTATTAGTATCGGAATCTTCATCATTGTTAGTATTGGCATCTTCATCATTATTAGTATTGGCATCTTCATCATTATTAGTATTGGCATCTTCATCATTGTCAACAACATCATCATCATTAGTATTATCACTGTTAGTATTGGCATCTTCATCATTGGTAGCATCGGCATCTTCTGATACTGAATCTTAATTAAATGGAGATTTAATATATAAATTAATAAATAATAATCAAATAATATATATTATATACATACCATGAATTTTATTAGATTTATTAGTCTTAGCTACCATCACTTTACTTTTCATAACACGAGAATGCTTAACATTCTTTGTAACTTTTCTTTCTACTTTACCTAAAAATATAAAATAAATAAGTAATAAACTTTAAAAAATTATGTTTAATCAACATACGCTGTTGATTAATAGCACGACGCATCATCATTTGAATAGCCCAATCACCAATTGATAATGGAAAATCTGGATTATTTGATTTGTACTAAAATAATTTGTTATTACTTAATTGTTATTGTTATGTCAATTATAATATCATTAAACTGATATACCTTTTCAACCAAATAGCGTTTTTTAGTCATACTTATCTTGCGATATTCTGGAGTATTTCCATTCCATTTTTCTGCTATAAATTCACGCATAGCACTCTCAAATAATAATGATAATATTATAACAATGCATCATAGAATATTTGGATATAATTAAATAATATCTTAAACTTACTCTATACGATGCATAAACTTTATTATCAAGTGACAATAGCTTTGGCAGATCATACCATTTCAA